GCATTTTAGTTATTTTATTCGTAAAAATTACATAATAACGAAATATTATTTTACATAAACTAAAATAATGCCCAATGGACACTATTTTGTCTTTCTGTGCACTAAAATTTAGATTTTATATATTAAGAAAAAATTATAGTATTTTTAACAAAATTCATATAGTTCAAGCCTTTTGGTTGCTACAACAAAAGTATTATGTTATACGAACAAACCGTAATCAAACAAGATATTTGTTTACAGGAACTAAACAGTTTTGTTGGGCATATTTTAACCAAATTATTTTGTTGTTGCAACAAAATTTTGATTCATGCAACAATATATTTTTCCTAGTGTATCTTGACGTTCTAGCACGTTTAAGCACTTTTGACTTTTTAGTATTTCTACCGTTACGTTTTTTGTGTTTACGATGCGAGAATCCACAGACGACGACTGTGGAGTTTAGGCAGCACTGCCGATTATTATCGTCACAGTGCGTCAACATCCGTACACGAAATACGAAGCCTGTTTTAATTAATGCGTATCAGTGTGACGCGTACCGTCACGCAATGACGGTAAAAACTGCGGGAAGTGGTGTGCAAATTGGTCGATGATGATTATTAAGCGATTAAGCGAATTTATCGCTCAGTCTATGACACAACGTTTGTCTGACTTAACACACGTCGTTAGTCATCAGTTGCGACGAACAAGCGTTTCGACGTCCATACAGACGCACATTCTATTTGCGAGCGGTCCGTATTTAGTTACGCCACGAAAATTCAGCGGGTCAATTAACCCTAATTAACCCCTCAAATTGGAACTCCACCAAATTCGGTTTGATTTTCTCGTGGAAGGGCGACATAACATTGATTGCGTAAAAATAAATTGGGAGCGTGCTTTAGCATGCGTGTAAATTTCAATCGCGTGCGTAGTAAATGTAGCCGTGCAAGGATTTACGATCCGCTTGCTCGGTATTCAACTCTCATATCCGCGAAGCTGTTTTCGTCCCGACACGTTTGTCGAACGGGACTATTTCAAGTCGATCTCCGACGAAATTTCCGGGGTGTCGCGAGACGCGACAAGCTTTTCGGCGCATCCAGCGTGCGAATGTGCAACGATACCGAATGTCACGCGCGATAATAAGTGTGCCCAAGAGCCTGGGCTGAAATATTCCGAAGTCACGGTAGATGAGCGCGAATGCCAGGTCGGGACGCATCGAGACGCGGGATGCATTCAATGAACCCGAAATACGCTCTGCTTCGCGGTGTCGCGCTTCGTCGCACGTGAAACAACGTCGCCATGAATATCCGCGCTGTCGTTCCCGCCGCTCGATCTCTCGCGCTTTACGGCGTTTTCATTGCGGCACCATAAAGCCGCGTTCAATCACAGCTTGGTGACGATTCGGTGTCGCGCGTCAGGTCGCGTTGCTCTCTCTCTCTCTCTCTCTCTCTCTCTCTCTCTCTCTCTCTCTCTCTCTCTCTCTCTCTCTCTTTCCCCCCTCTCTTCCTCCTTCTCTCTCTCTCTCTCTCCCCCCTTCTCTCTCTCTCTCTCTCTCTCTCTCTCTCTCTCTCGACTATCAACGGTCGTCACGTCAGCGTCGTTTATCGTTCTATCGTCGCCTTCATCTTCGTCGTCGTCGTTGTCGTCATCGCCGTTATCGTGACGTGACAGCAAAGCGCGTCAGTTAAGTCGCGGTTGGTGCATCCGAGGACAGCTTCTTGACACTTTGCAGACGCCCCCCGATCTGCAAAGGCGTAAACATCCGTGAGCGTCCGCGAGCGAATGCACGCTGTGGAAAACCGCGGCCGTCTGGCCGTCGGTATTGCACCGCGTGAAAATATACCGAGACGTGCGTAAATCCACCGACGGGCTCCTGCTTTGCGGGACGACCTTGAAGCCTTTTCGCATCTTCGCGCTTATCGCGAGTTTACGATAAGCGGAGAGGCAGAGAGAGAGGCAGAGAGAGAGAGAGAGAGAGAGAGAGAGAGAGAGAGAGAGAGAGAGAGAGAGAGAGAGAGAGAGAGAGAGAGGGGGTGGAGGAGAGTTTCCGACTCGCAATTTCAAGTACGGATTTAATAGCGCTGAAGACGATTATCCAAAGTTTCCGGATTTGGACGCGAGTGTAACGCGTTAGACGGATCGCTAAGTCCGCACAATCGTCTTTCGAGATCATGCGACGGTACATAGCGCTAAATGCGCGATTATAAAACGTGGATACTCGTGCTCCACTGACCTACTTTAGACTTTGGGTACTTTAGGCATTTTTATGAATTTGGCTAAGGCACAATAAGTCTTTTAGGCTGCGCTGTGTGCACTGCAGACCATCTTACGGATTAATTAATAATAATTATATTATTATAATTTGGGTTATTGCAAATAGAGGGCCAATGTCAACATTTTCGGTTGGGTTTCGCGTCGATTGTTCGCGCATTTAACATAAGATTAACGAATGCGTGAGATGTCATGAAAAATAGTATTATATATAAATGTAAAATATGTCATAATAAAACTCTCTGAAGCTACGAAATAAGAGACGCTAATATATTTATTCGAAACGTCGTTCTTACTCGTGAAAAAATTCCGAAAAAATTGTTCAACTGCGCATTCGTTGAAAACTCGCCGTGTACATGCGAGGGAAAGAATGAGCTTTTAGCTCTGCGTTGGAAATAACTTCTGTTTGCAAAAATAATCCGAGGTTGATGGGGTAAATCTCTCTCTCTCTTTCTCTCTCTCTCTCTCTCTCTCTCTCTCTCTCTCTCGGGCAGAGAAGGGGCTTAAGCCCTCGTGTGTCCATATTTTTATCGAGTGAATTCTTCGACTCTACGCGCAACTAGCCCTCTACCCCGCCCGCTCCTCCGTTTTACTCTCGCAAAAATAGAATAGCGATAGAAACGCCTAGCCCTTTCAGTCTCTAATCAGCTGATTGATAGTAACTATCGATATCGATGTCCACCAAAAATATATACGTCGGCGTGTTCGGAGATCCTCGCGGGAACTCCGCCTCGAGTATCATGGTCTTAGCTCGTTACCGCTCTCAAAGAGATCACACGCGGCGGATTCGAGATGCGGGTATTGAATTGACGCTTATTGCCGTCTACCGCAATTTCCGCAATTGCATAGCGGCGAGTTGCGAAAGTTACAAAATTAGCGCGGTCGATACGCGACCGCTCGGACTTTGCCGTTAATCCTCGGTTGCGGCCGGAAAAGAGTCGGTCGGGAGTTTATTCGCGATGTAATATTCACGCAAAAACCGCAGAAATTCCGATATCATTTTGCAACGCGCAAATTTCGGCTGTAATAGCGGCGCTCGGAAAAAATTATTTAACATTCACTTTGCATTTTGCGTCATTGTGACGTTCGCCTTTTTTTTTTTCAACAGCGAATTTTTCTACGTCCCGATAATTACGGTACATGGAATTGACGTGATTGAAATCGATAAATTATAACGAAATGTGACCGCCTTGTTAGAATTAAGCGGCGCAAGCCGAGACAATTACTCGCGTTCGCGGCTTACGTGCAGATTTCTTGCAGCATAAAATAGCGCGATAGTTGTCGCAAGTCGACCGTTAAAACGGAATATTAGACACGTGGTTGTGTGAGGCATCGATAAGGTTGCGTAAGGTCGTTTATTTATAAAGACTCTTGGAAAAATACAGGATAGATGGAGCCGTGTTTATTTATAGTCTTTCACTTACCCGATATTATAAATAAATAATTAGAATTGTTTTAACTGTTTGCATAATTATATTCACCGCGTCTTGAGATGATAGAAACTTTGTGGATTTGGCATTTTCATGATTTCACTCTGTTGCAAATGAGAAGACATAAATACGAAGGAAATGGTTGTATTTTGAAATTGTTTATTTAAAATTTGTAGAAAATAAGACTTGATATCTTATTTTATTTGCAATACATTTTTCATTATATTATGCCACGGATAAAATACGCTACTCTTTAATTAGGTAACAAAACAATGGCTAAGTAATAAAACAAGTTTTTTTGAAACTTTCACGGTATTTGAGAGAGAGAGAGAGAGAGAGATTTTGTTGAAACAAGTTTAACTTGCTCCAATTTCTTACGAATAAGCAAACATTGGGTTAGAAAGCAAATACGGAATTTTGTCATTAAATACGTCGGAGTTATTATTTTCTGACTCTTGTCTATTATCGTTTCCTTTTGTTTTCGCCAGAATGCAAAAATCACAATTTATCGACGATATCATCGACGATGGTCGAACTTTTCGATAATTCTACGACACACGTAATTTATCGGTTCGTGAATAGTAGATCGCGAAACGAAGAGCTGGCAAGTGTCGCGATTTAGTTAAGAGAAAATGAAAATGTCGAAAATCGTCGAAGGTAAACCACCTTGAAAGGGCGTCTTTTCACCGGCAGGAATTTACGTGGAATATTTACGGCTAGTGAAATTTGGCCATTTGTCAACCGAAGGCTTCCCCGCGCGGCATAAAATGGAGATTTAAGGAGGCACGATGAAGTCTAGGCGCCGTGTATCACCGTGCCGAGACAAAAGTTTATTTCGGCCTTAGCGGGAATTTATCCCCGGTGAATATCGAAAGAAACATCCGACGCATACTTAATCGTGAAATAATACGATTGTTTATTTATTCGTTCGTTCGCTCGTTTCTCACAACGCGATGAATTTTCCTCGCTCCAGCCGTTGCTCTCCTGCGATTAAAGTTGCCACGTAAAGTTATCACCTTTGTCACTCGGAACGAACATCGACGAGTGATATTAATAATAGCAAAGTTTTTTTCAACAAATTATTCGAATTTGGCCAACCTGCATTTTCGTCGTCGCGTTGAAACTCGATTACGTTTCAATCTTTGTTATTTATCTTCATCTCAGCCGTTTCTGTCTTAGAGAGAGTGGTTCTCCTCAGACGTCAATAAAAGTTGAGAAGAAACTTCCGTCTGTTCTCAATTTTGTCCTCGGACTTTTATCAATAAAAGGAAAAAAAATATGTACAGGAATATAACGCGAATTTCCATCTTCTTTGTGTTGCAGAAAGCCAGATTGGCGCGTATCAGAATCGCGAAGGCGTCGAGCGGCGCCGCCTTCGTGAGCAAAAAGAAGGCAGCGGAGGCGCGTATAGCCGCTCAGCAGAGCGGACTGCAGCTGGAGGACTACAAGGAGGAGGATATCTTCGAGCTGCAGCATCATCACCTACTTCGCTGCTTGGAGAAGACTACGGTGAGTAGTCCCCTGAGGCATTTTCCGCATCCTGTGACGGCATGCCGCTCCCCTGTTTCTCCTGTCGTGTAGGAATTCTAACGCTTTTCGGCCCCTGCTGCTCTAAACCCCTTCAAATCCCGACGATAAATTTACTTTCACGCACCGAGGGTTGAACCTCCTTTAATATCTCGCCTTGATGAAACGTAAAACCTGGATAATGTCCTGCCTTTCTTTATCTCCGTCGGGCGGACTTTTCAGATTTGGAGGACCTAACGTTACGTGACGTGAACTGCGCTAAGAAACAGGACATTGACTTCGAAATTTAGATGAAGGAAATGTACCTCTCAGAGCGCGTCTGAGTCAATCTGTCAGGCGGTTAGGTGGTATCTTCTACGGTGAAATCCACCATCTTTTTCTCCGTATTTCGAGGTATAAGTCGGGACTTTCCGATGAAATTGTCGAATGGAGAAACTTTCTTTAACTTAAGAAATTAAAAATACTCGTGAATTTCGCTCGAGTACAAACGGACGGTAAAGTCCCATTTCCCGATCAACATTTCCCACGGTTTTTGCAACGTTAGAGTTTTAACGTGAACGTAGTTAGTCGAAGTGTCTGTCGCAGTGCCGTGCAAGAAAAGTAACGAAACGAGAAGGAAAACGCTCTTCTCTCAGAATACCGCAAAGAACATCATTGCACCGCCATTGCACAGGTTTTTGCGAAATCCCTCGCGCAAAGCCTCGTTCGGCTCGCGGCGACGGCGGCGGCGGCGGCGGAGGCGGCGGCGGATTAATCAACGAAACGGTAATTAATTATTCACGAGGACGCGCGGCCCGTCCTTTCGTCTTCGCGGAAGACGACAGACTCGCGACAAAAAACTCGCGGTTCTCTATTTCTCTCTTTTTCTTTCGAGCGTCCGTCATTAATCCAGCGACGTCGAGCGACAAAGCGACTGCATCGTCGCGAATGCACAGCGTTGGCGCTTTCGCTTCTCCGTGCGGCGTGAATTCAATGGGTTAGTCCGCTTCTCTCGAAAATCCGACAGTCTGTTTCGTGGATATCGCGCGCGAGTACCGGAGCAATTTGAATAAACCCTCCCCGTGCTCTCTCGTCTAATTTTAGCCCGGGCGAGAGGGTTGTCGCGCGCGCGTGGGGTACGGCCGCGCTGTCGAGTCCAAACACCGGGCGTCCTAACCAAGCCCTCGTGCACGTTTACGTAGCCGTTGTGCTATACAAGCGCGCAATTCCGAGCGGGGGATGTCACAAAAGTCGCGAACCACCCTCCGAACGGGGGTTGTACACAGGTATGGGGATTCGAGCGGGGCGATATGTCGAAATAAGTGGTATCAGCAACGAACGGATATAAAACGATTTATACAGTAAAGAGAGAAAGAGAGAGAGAGGAGAGAGCAGAGAGACAGAAAGACAGAGAGACAGAGAGACAGAGAGACAGAGAGAGACAGAGAGAGAGAGAGAGAGACAGAGAGACAGAGAGACAGAGAGACAGAGAGACAGAGAGACAGAGAGACATAGAGAGAGAGACAGAGAGAGAGAGAGAGAGAGAGAGAGAGAGAGAGGGGGGGGGGGGTAAAGTTACGAAATGGGAGTTACGACGCCCCGAATCGCGCGTGCTCAGTTTCATCGTTGTCGTTGAAAAATAGGTAAATCTGGAATATATGCGAGTATGGCTTGCATAATTCGGCTTTCGTACAATATACACCGAACATCTCGTGTATTTCAGTCCGTTCCTACAAAGCAGCGGAATAAGATGGGAATCGCAAGAGTTAATTAAATTTTATTTTGTAGTCGCGATAGTCGGAATGCAAATGTGATAAGGGACGCGAGATATTTCTCTCGCAAAGTCGCGTAGAACGAATGTTAAAACAGCCAGATACACTTCCCGGGAAGATCCGTAAATAAGACGAAAAAGAAAGAGAAGAAAGTAGATGCGAGGTAAAGGTATCCATTGTCTGGACAGATCTCTGACACTGAACACTTGCGTCGTTTTAGTCTCTAAATAACAATGAAATATATCTCGAGTGATAAGAGTAAAAACTTCTTCTTGTGTCTTAACGTTGTAGCCGCGACACCCGAATGATGTATTTCTATGAATTTTTGCGCTCTTCGCAAAATGTATAATTACTTTATTTCTTGATGTGTTCGCGATACGGAAACAGTGAATTATTCAAGAGCCATTTCGAATCGCAACAAATTAGAGGATTTTTTAATTATATTTAGTTTACTACTTTAGTTTACTACTTTAATTATATTTAGTTATATTAAGATATAAATTATATTAGTTTAATTTGTCACCGGTGCGTGGATTTCATAAAAATTTCTCGCTTATTAAACAATGACGGAAATTAATATTTTATCAAGGCATTTTTCTCTGGAAAATACATATGACTTTTGCGTTAAAGGAGGAATTTCATGCCGAGCAGGCCGTTTTCAAGGCTATCTTTACGAATTTTTTTAACAGAAACGGACTTTGATCAATGGACTTGAAATTTTCACAGTGTATTCATTAATGTTGAAAGTATAAAATAAATTTGTTACTATCTATATGGAAAGTACACATAAAACTTCAAACGTGTTTATCTGGAAATATCATTTTCTTAAACTCTCGACACGATTACATTGAAAAACTACTGAACCGAATAACTTGAAATTTTTACACAATATACAATAGACACGTAGTTTTCGCCCTTACCTCGAACACAATTATATTTTATTTTATTTATTTTTTTGAACATGATTACAAGTTTCATGTTCGATACTTTTTTTTGTACAGTCATTATTTTTCTAAACTTGGCTTCACTGCCTTCATTTGGTACGGGCTATAATGGCAACGGTATATTTTAAAAATCTTTCTCAGTTCTTGGTTTCAGAGTAATGAGAGAGAGAGAGGCCCGGAATTATATCGACAGCAAACATAGAGATCGCAAACGAATGACTGCATTTTTATTTATAATTACAAATTGGATTGGTTCTTGTGATTTAATCAAATTTAATCAAATTTAATCAAATTTAATCAAATTTATTTTATACTATAAACATTAATGAATACACTGTAAAAATTTCAAGTCTATTGATCTTACCGTTTTTGTTAAAAAAGTTTCGTAAAAATACGGCGGCCTTCCGCCTATAATTCCGCCCTTAAACGCGCAAAGAAGAAAGTTCCCTTTGCGACCAGATTTCACAGTACGTTTTCTCATACCGTTCCCCGGCGCCCTCAGATATTGGCATCTTAGGGGTAGATTTACCTGAGTCGCGGAAAATGCACGACTTTCCGCGACTCTCGTTACGCGCGCGCGCGCATGTTGCGTACGACGGGAACGCCCCGGCGCGTACACGCTCGCGCGATGAAACCAATCGCACGACGTGCTGACACGTCGAGAAGATTGCAAGTACGCGTCGCGCAGTTCGCAGTACGATAACGACGCGATAGCGGCGATTCGGCTGTGTAATCCACGCTGCGGGAGGCAGAAATTAGTTTATTACGGCAGAAAGGAGGAGAGAGGAAGAGAGAGAGAGAGAGAGAGAAAGAGAGAGAGAGAGAGAGAGAGAGAGAGAGAGAGAGAGAGAGAGAGAGAGAGAGGGCTAGCTAGCTAGTGACGCGCAGGATATACGTCGGGGGTGGTACGGGTCACTACGTATTGAAGCCGATGTACAGAAAGGAGGTAACGGCCGAAGTCGATACGCCCGCGATATTTTAGGACGAGGAAGCGCAGATTGATAACGCTTTTAGATAACGCTCGGGCGAATCTCGAGAGAGATTCCCCCGATTAATTAATCCGCCGGCGAGCTCAGCTGGTGGCTTCGTTTTAAATCCGTTCCCTCTCTCGGAATCCTCAATGACGGACGAGGCTATCATTCCGTGCTCCATTTTGAAGGGAGAAAGAAAACACGAAACGGGAGCACATCGGGGTTCGAGGATTGATAGAATATGAAAACGCGGCGCGCGGACTATACATTTCTAATTGCTCGAGAGTCCTCTGCGCTGATTATATATAATTCCGGGAAAAAGAAGAACGCCGCGCGCGGTCTCTCCTTATCTCACGTCTTGTTCCACTTCGACTTCGAGCCATTCCGTCATTCGTATGGAAGTCTCCAACGGACTGTATCGCACCACTTCCAAGAGCGATCGCGAACTTTTGCTAGCTCTCGACGTGGGGAGACACACGTGAGTATCTCCCGAGACCTGATATTAATCTCTCAAGTTCATGCCGACTTTTCTCGTTGTGACTGACAACTCCGTTATTAGCCGACGATTTCCGACGGAGGGGCGACGGCGGGCGTCGCGTCGCGTCGCGGTGCTGCACGGGATCGCGTTTCCGATCGATTCCGCGGCAACGTCGTCCACGAAGCTGGCGAATCTTTGATTCGGGCTGCCTGGGTCACGCGCAAATCGCGCGGAATCCCCTCCCGGGGGTGCAACGTACGTACGAGCGTTCGAAAATGTCTCTCGCGGGGTTGAACAAAACGGAGAACGTGATCCTCGTGATGATGAAAGAACGAGCGAGCTCCTGCTGACTGCACGCGACGCGAGTCTCCGGATGCGACTGTTTAATGAGCCGCGCGGGTGCGTTCCCGCGAGGGTTGACGGGTCGAGTGCGCATCTTCACCCCCGCTTTGCATCGCGCTGTCAACGCTCGGATGCCGGCATATCGAGATGGGCGGGCGGACGATCAGCCGAGCGCGCTATGCGATGCATAGAAGTTTCCTAGGAAACGCGCGGCACCGTTACGCGCTCGTCGTGTATGTTTTGGGACTTGCTATTTGTCGGAGTAATCTTGGTTGCTGGCAAAAGGGAGTGCAGCAAATAAGTCTTCGTCCCTCCATCTTTGAGGAAATACCTGTGGGCGGCGGGTGAATTGACATTCCCTAATTCATCCAAAATCGATATCGTATACCTTCCTGTTGCTATTATGGATAATATATCTCCCTTGACGGGATTATTTCTTGAAAAATGTGAGACATGACAACGGCGCAAGGCGCAATGTCGATAATGTCGAAAGTTC